TTGTTTGGCTTGAATCTTCCTATTGAGGTTTAAGACTGCAATTGGACAGTTTGTTATTGGCACTTGTGCATACTGTGCATATGCCTTGATATTGCCTTAATTCACAAGCTATTTGTAAGCAATGATGGATAGTGGCTAGCAGTGGAATCCAGGATGCACGTTTCGATACAAGCCAAACAATACCTAGTGAATTTAAATTCACCCCATTGCACAAGCAAGTGGCTGTCAGGACTTAATAGCTGAGGGAATAACACGATGGCGTTTGGAGCGCATGGTACTGGGTTCGAGTCGCAGAGTGAACAAAAAATCTGAGATGCAGGTACATTCATCTGACGAGTCCCAAATAGGACGAAACACGCATCCTGGATCCCACTGTTAGCCACTATCCATCATTGCTTACAAAAAGAAAAAACCGTTTCGTTTAGATAATTTAATCAGAATCGACTAAAATTAAGTTATTAAAGTGAATAAATATATTTGATTTAATGTTTACGTGTCAACAAAATATAATTAAATTTGTATCAAATGTTTAAATGAATAAATTCAGTACAATTTTTTTTCACCTTCACAGATTAAGTCATTTCAAATATCAATAGTTGAAATCATGGGTAAATTGAAGGTAGACCACCATGAATAACCTGGAAGCATTGGACGGCCGTTTCGCCCTAGTACGGGACTCCTCAACAGTGTGTATCCACGATACCGGCCCCCCGCAAAATTCGAACCCAGGACCTATCAGTCTCGCGCGTGAGCGCTTAACCATTAGACCACTGAGCCGGCATCCAACAGTGTTGGTGTCTAACTTCAAACAATCCATGGAATTGCACCACTGTACACCATTGTCTTCACTGAGCTGATATCTCACAACAGACCTGGTTGAACTCCACTGGTAACAGCTTCTCACTAGAACTCCAGGAAATGCCACTTGAAGTCAGTTACCAGTGAGCAGATGGTTATTATCAGAAAGGGTTTTTTGGATATTTTTATAAATTTCAATAGTTGAAATCATGAGTCAATTGAAGCTAGACCACCATTTTCATTCACAAGAAAATGAAACGATATTTAAATGGTCTGTTTATACAGTTTATTGAATATAATCAAGAGATAGTTTCAATGATGCTATTAACAAAAGATGTAACTAACTAATTTTAATCATGTTGAATATGAGTGATGATCCTATAGTATCTTATCAAATATTTATCATCCCCTTCACTCATATCTTCCTCCTTGTATATCTTCTGGTAGAATGAGACGTAATTACATCAAAATCTATGCATGGAAGCAAAAGTATAAAAGTTCTATAATACCTTACCTAGCAAATATACCCTGTGAAGAACAGGTTGTTAGAGATAACCTGGTCAATAACCTGTATTCTTAAACATGTCTCTAATTTGGAAAGTTGTGCAGCTTCAGATTTTTTATTTTTAAAGATGTTTTTCAAATTTTTCCTTTCTTTTTTTGTTTTTTATGCAAAAGAAATTTGTTGAAATACTTTGTGTTGAAAATTCTATATTGCACCAAAATATAATATTGGATAAAGCCATCAATAATAATAATAATAATAATAATAATGAGAATTTACTCAAGCAAGAATTGTAAATAACTGGATTTAAGCGCAATCGACAGAGAATAATATGCTAACCTAGAGGTTTGGTAGTTTAAGAAGTTGTAGATAAGGACTGTTAATTAGTTTCATACTAAGATGAAACAAACATCTAATATTTTTTAGTCAGCCGATGATTTAAAACTTTGAAATGTATATCAGTTTAATTTGAGGTAATGGTTACATGAAAATTGAAATATCAGAACTGTCAACATAAACTATTGGAGATATCGAATCTTTTCTTTTGCAAAAGAAGCTTACTCATCGTTAAATTTTGTAAGTTCAAAAGTTTTGTCCTATTAATCTAGGAAAAGACGAACTATTGTGTACCTGAAAATGAGTATTCTTTATGAGTTGTAGATGACCCAAATGGAAGACAGAATTTGTCTGTTAAGTTTCTGTAAGTCGATAGAAACAAACACAATGTACTATCAAAGAACGAAACGCAAGATAATCTAGTGACTCGACTAATCTGTGAAATGTTCAGTAGTAATTAAGTAGTAAGAAATACTAAAGATTCTAGAGCCCTTTTATCGTATACTTTCTCACTAATCAAACTATTTCCTATTCCTATTCACGGTGGACCTTAAATATTGTTCTACTATTTGTATTTCATCTTTATTACGTTTTTAATCAATTCTTTTATATCTTGACTTTAAGTACTCGTATATATCTATAATTTGATTGTTTACATAGTCGTCTTCTACTATTGTCTAATGCTTAAAGATTATGTAGATAAATATATTTTTTTACTTCATATAGATTTTCTAATTGGGAATATTTACTGATTTTATTAATCTGTTTCTGTTATTCTTATCAGTGTCACTATAACTTTAATCTTGCCACAAATATGATCATGATTAATTGTTTAATCTCTATCACTGAGAAAATTATCTAGAGTGGCCTAATATTTTCCATATATGAGTATGGAAATAAATGTTTATTCAAATCGAACATTATGAAAATCTAATTATAAACAATATTTTTAGGGGATATGTTTTACTGCACATATGATCCAGTGATATTCAATCGACTTGAAGTATCATTCATGTCGAATACCACTTAAAAATATTTTTTAAATATACGATATGTTCTAATTTACATCCGATTTTCAGGGAGTTTGTATTGTTCAAGGTGTGTCATCTGTACTTCAACAATTTCTGTTTTGCTTCCTGAAGTGAGCTTTTTCATCTGAATATTCCTGTTAACATGAAAAAAAGATCAAGTTAATCGACCTACATAGTAAAGTGAGAATCCACATCCAGAGATTTAGCGAGGAGGAACAAATATTTCTTTTCATTTAGTTTTCATCATGGTTTTACAGTAATATATATATTTATGACTAAGTCATTAAAAAAAGTGGGATGAGGTAATTACTATAACTGAAGTAATTATTAGTAAGAGTTAAAAGGTCCAAGGAATTGCGTGATAATTAACAAGATGGGTTGATAACCAGTAACTCTACCGATAGTTACGCAAAAATAGACGATTGTTAGGGCGCGAAATGTTCCTTTTACTACAAAGGTTGATGAATATGAATTATGATAGTTTTAGTGGTATATATAAAACTAACTCGCAAACTGTATGGTGTGATTCAAGACAATAGATTAATCGCAGTGTGCCAGTCAGTTGAGCGAGATCAGAACTTTTAATTAACCTTAACAATCTTTTATTGTGCAAGGCGGGATGGTATTCGACCGTACAAAGGCAGGCTCTTCTCACTGTTTACTCTAGGAAGATGTGTCCACTGATGTAATTGAAATTATAAACAACGGATAAAGGGATTAAGCAAATAATTTCGTCTAAAAGAAATTTTATTTTGTCGAATTCTCTTTATTTTTATTTAGTGACAAGCAAACATGGAATTGGCGAATCCAGGCAGTCTATCTTTGTTGACAGTTGAAATTATCGAACGAATATAAAATGTCAAATTTAATTTGGGTATAGAGAACTTTTTCTGTAACATAAAGCTCACATTCAAATGGCACTAGAAACAGTGTATTGAGTTACTTATGCCTGTTACCCCTCATGAAGCAGCATAGGCCACCCACCAGCATTCCCCATCCAACCCTATCCTGGGTAATCCTCCTGTTACAGCCCAAAGCCGCCAATCAGAAGCAGCGAATTATCGACCAGATCAAGGACGCGTAAGACACGTGCGAGCAGCCTAGAGTTCTGATTGGTCTTGCTTTCTGCCTAGCCCAGCCAGTTAAGTCCAGAACACCAGTCTCAGCCCCTGCAATATGAATCATTATATTTCAAACATACTGAGTTTATATACTAATCAAACAGACCACAAAGTACCAATAAAATATGAAACAACATTTGTACAAGAATTGGTCAGATGTGGCTGTGAATAAGGGAGGTAGTGATTAATAGACAGAGCATAATTCAAGATTGGTGAAACGTATAATAATAGTTCATAAGTCAAAATAAAGCTCCTAATAAGAGAGACATGAATATGAATAGTTTAGTTATTTATCAACTATACGATAAAAATACACGTATAGTATTGGTCCATAAATGGATCCCAAAAGTTGCCATTCATTAATCTTGGTGGGACATAACACCTCCCAGTTGTTTTGCTGTCGCTATTCAAATCAATTAAACAGTGAGTACTTTATGAACAGTTAGATTACGAATACTACTAAGCTTGTCCGGATTTCAAACAAACCTACATCTATTTATTTTCACATAAAACAATGTTAATTTTTGAAATAATTCTGTACAAAATATCCCCTGAATACTCACTAACACATTGAAGAAAAAATATATAGCCGATGTTTGCTAGAAGTATTTTTGAAAGTCTGAAATTCTATTTCTTCTGGTTTCTCCAGTTTGACATACCTTGCTCATGTTTTCTTTGTCAATGTACTTGTTCTATGTATTCATGTTCTCTGTATAATCAGTATAATATAAATATATATTTATCGTTATATTTAAGTTTCTTTGACTTTAGTCAATCAATATTAAGAAAAGTTTTGGATCTAATGAATTTTTCATTAGTGAATTATTTATATTATAATATCATAAAGGGTTTTGTGGAGATTGTAGTAATTTCAATAGTTGAGATTATGAGTCATTTGAAGCTAGACCACCATGGAAAACCTGGAAGCACTGGACAGCCGTTTCAATCGTTGGTTAAGCGTCTAGTGCGAGACTGATATGTCCCGGGTTCGAATCCCATGAGGCGGGGTCGTGGATGCCCACTTCTGAGAAGTCCCACAATAGGACGAAACGGCTGTCCAGTGCTTCCAGGTTTCCCATGGTGGTCTAGCTTTAATTGACTCGTGATTTCAACTATATTTTAATAGTTCAAATTAAAATATCTGTCTTTATTGTAAATCCATGTAAATCAATAGGAGTTTACTTAATATTAACAGTGAAATTTACTTACTGGTTGTGAATAAATACATAATTGTTGAAATTCTGGTAATTTAGACTTAGTTAAACTACTCCATTCATAATCATTATATTTATTTAAGACATTTTCATCATTGAAATAGGATAATTTTCTTACAGCTTGGTCATAGACTACATGTAGATCTTCAAACTTTTCATTAGTTACATCAATAAATTTATCATCATTACTGGAACGATTAGTATTTGATGTGGATGGATAACATGTAGAAGTAAAAGGATTGACTGGATTCAAATTAATTTGTTCTTTAGAATTTGTAGAATACAATATGCTTATTGGTTGTACACAATTATTAGTTAAAAAATTTGTAGAAATAGGCTCTAAACGTACAATTAAAGGTTGTGGAAGAACGGTAGCTTGTGTAGTTGAGGAATAAGAAAGTGAGGAATTTGCTGTTTCATAATAATTATTTACATATTGTGAAAGTGATGTATTATATTGTAATGTTGCATAATTTACTGTAGGCGTAATGTCACAAGATGTAATTGAATTATTTGGGATATCACTTATTAAGTTGGGTAATAATGAATCAATATTATGAATATTGTCATCGTGCATAAGTTTCGTTCTAATCGGACTCATTTCTGAAATAAAAATAAAACATAATAAAATCAAAAGAGATTATAAAAATTGATTTAAGCAATATTTAATTGAATGGAGAAAAATATGAATACCTCTTTTACGGTATAGTAAAGCGATAATAACATAATATGCGAAATTTCTCTATGATAGTGGTCACGTAAACAAGTCCTGGATTTTATCTTGGATCTGACAGACGGTTTCTGATCCCTTTCTGTATATCCACATAAGCAAGAATTAAAGACACCAAATATGACTTAAATCCTCAAATAAATGAGCAAAAATATTGTTTGTATCACATTATCATTTATGTCATTTAAAGATCTTATTGATAACGTAGTTCGTATTTTGCAGTTTTAAAATAATTTTTCTGGAAACTACGACATCGGAAACCCCTAGCTAAGAAGTATGAGAGAGCCTTTCAGTCACCTTAAATTACTGCAATTTTAATTTGGTGGACTACAATGATGCACCGATTATATTTATACATGAAGCTTGTTCACAAAGGTTGTGTCATCAATATCAGATAGACGATATGGAGTCAGTTATAAAGTGTTCAGTATATACGTAAATATCTCATTGATAATTTGTTTGACAGATACTAAGTGACTCTAGGACAAATACCACAGGATGCATAAGCTTTCTTAATTTTGTTAGTACCATTTTCTGAGAATGACAAGCTACCCCGAAACCTGGAGTGAGCATTTTTGTCATATAATTTCTACCAGCTAACATTAGTTATAATAAATAAAAACAACAAAAATAACAACCTTTAACTAGATCGAAATAAACAAAAGTCCTCATTGTAGTACTTCACATAAATTAATGAATAGTTAATTCCAACAAATTTATTGAATGTAACTTTGATTAATGATGAATGTCCGACAATTGTGGACTTTTTCAGTTTTAATTTAAACTACTTAAAATTGATGAAAAACTAATCCTTGTGATAAAATAATGTTCATAATCTTGAGAAATTTCAGATGAGCTAATAGGTAAATTGCTTATATAAGTCTATTTGCCGAATAAATTACATTTCAAACATTCCGCTCAAAATTTCTGGATAATTTTATTGGTTACATTTATGTATTTGTACGTCAAATATGTTCAACTGTGATGTGGTTCTCGATATAAGAGAGCATGAACAGTAAGACATACCATGATTTAGTACTATTTTTCAACAGGACTTACATAAATGTTAGTTATAATCATGCAATGAAGGAGTTACAGTAATTATTCTACATATAAACAATTTAATTTTTCGTTAGTAAAGTTTACCACTATTTATGAAACTTACTTATATTCTGAAATCCGTCCTCATTGAAAGAATAATCTCCTTTGATTTCATTGAGTTTGTTAGTATCTTTTGAATTGTGGATTACTGAATTGTTTTTAAGTTTTCTATATTTAATAATACAAGCTACAGAACACATTAAAATAATTGATAGTAGTATTGATACCACCACTGTAGACAAGATTATGTAATTATTTAAAGAAAAACGGTTATGATTACTCCATTTTGAATAGGTAAGATGATTACCTTCCCAATTTTCCATATGATCCATATCGTAATCATCATCCAATTCGTAGTCAAAACTATCTTTTGTTTCTGATGGTGTGATGTTTACAGGCTTAATGTGAATTGTTATGTAGGAATATTTTGATATAGGTATACCTAAATCATAAGCTCTTATCTGAATATTTATTGTTTTGTTTAGATCTGATAGAGAGAACTGTGTGTTTAAACGTAATAAACCATTCAATGGATTTAATGAAAATAAAGAATTTTTTAAGAATTCATAATTTTTAACCGATTGATTCATTGCAAATGAATCTTTTATGGTTTTCATTTGATCATTAACGTTATTGTTCTTTATAACTTCTCGTGTTACCTGATGTATTTCATACCTGACAGTGCCATTTATACCTGCGTCGTTATCAATTGCATGTAACTGAAAATATATAAATATAAATATGGTTATAAAACAGTTTTATTCACATTAATTATATTCGATTAAATGTTATTGATTAAGATCATAAACCGATTGGTGTTAGACCACCGTTGGAAACCTGGAAGCACTGGACGGCCGTTTCGTCCGATCGTGGGACTCCTCATCAGTGCTCGTCCATGATCCTGGTCGTGGGATTCGAGCTTAGGGCCTTCACAGGCCATCGTTGGAAACCTGGAAGCACTGGGCAAGTTAAGCGTTAGCGCGCGAGACTGAAAGCCCTGGGTTCCGAGCCCGTGGGCGGGATCGTGGACGGGCACTGCTGAGGGGTACCACAATAGGATGACATGGCCATCCAATGCTTCCATGTTTTCAATGGTGGTCTAACATCCATCGGTTTAGGATTCCATTTAAATATTTCATTTATAAAAACTTCAAGTTACTTCAACTAATGCTTTTTACAATTTAATGTATTTAATAATAATAACTGAAGAAATATTATGTTGGTAAAGAGTTGGTTAACTAAATAAAACCATGCTTTTCACCATACACTCTAACATTTAAAATTTTATCTGTCTACTTTATTTGAATATTGGGCACAAAAACTAGTGGATGTTGTACATTATTCGTTGGAATAAAACGTATATAAGAAGGTAAATATCGCTTTCATTATCACGGTGTGGTGTGTGCTACTTGTATCAATATAAGTAGTATATGACGTTAGTCAGGAACAGAATGTCTGGAAGCAGAGAGACAAGAGGATCGGATAGTAAACAATGGAAACAGATTGTAATTTGTATGAAAATGCAAGAACAATGAAGTCTGAGTCATTTTAAGACATTTGATGGACATTTTGCAAATTAAGCTTTTACTATATGATTGTTAGATTTTATTATCAAGTTCTGTAATTTTCTGTCAAATACTATTCGATTGTTCACTACAACGTTAATTATATGACATGAAAGACGTTCAGTTAAGAGATCCATATTTTTTCTAGAATTGTTTTAAGGCATTGAATAAATTCAAATATTTCGAGGTTTAGTTGACTTTACGTATGTTAAAATCTGTGCGGATTTCCATCAACTTTATTTTTATTACAGAGAGCTAGATTCTAATTTACGACACAAAAGATCATGTCCAGAATATAAGTGTTGTGTTTAATTTTGATTCTTCCTGAAATGCGAGATATGTTTTAAACTATGTTAAATGTAAGTTGTTAAATTATAGGGGTCAAAAGTAAAGTACATTTTACTGAAATCTCAGTAAAATATAGAAAAATTCTCAAAACACTTAAGGATTAAAAAAAATTAATGAAGTAGAAACATGACATTTGTCGGAACGTTATGATATTCATATCTGCACAAAACATTTGAAGAAATGTGATCACATAATAATTCATTACATAGTTCATATAAAACGTAAACAAACTAAATGAGTAGGAATACCAAAACAACACAAATATGGAAGCGACAATATTACAATTAGTACGCACGACATCAGAATTAGAATAAACAGAATGGAATGGATTTGCTCCAATTACAGATTTATTTTCATCACGTAAATGAGACTTTAGTTTTTAGAGGGGAAGACCATAAACATATACGAGATATTGCGGTTGAGTGGATTCAGATCATATTGGTTTTGAGAATTGTATTCTTTTTAAACCTATTCATGCCGAACAGTTCTTTTGAATTTGATTTTATGTTTTACTTTGATCTATGTTTTCTTTCATAGGAAATATATTTTATAATTCTGGTTTCATCATTGAGAACGGATATTACATTTTTGTAACTATAGCAACCAGTTACGTTCAGTTTTCAAGTGTGGATCCATCATTAGAAAAATCATTTCGTAATTGTTTCGATCACATAAACTTTTGAGAAGCAAAATCGATCTTGGCCATTTGATCTTCAACTGTGAGATCAATCTAACAACTTTGTAAGGTGTATTATAATTTCTCGTGTCTTTTCTTATAGAACAATTTCACTATTTCGTCTTTTAATTTCATTATTCATTGTAGATAGTAGTTGTTAATAGTTGATGAAAAGCAGAGATGGATCGTATATAATTTCATTTTCTGTTACGGGAGATAAATATACAATAAGTTCACTTTGAATGTCAGTTTTGATGAGAATGATTATCTTTGTATGATGGTGATGTCAAAACGTTTCTTTTCTGACACCATGCTGAATGAAAGAATTTTTTTCAGAGGATCAATTTAACTCACTAATTTTTCTAAAGTTATTAAATAACATGAATTAGTTTAAGTTGAAAACTATCCGTCAATTTTGTAATCCTGAACCATGCGATTGAACAAACATCGATTCATAGCATTCTATAAAGTATTGAAGGATTACTTAAACAGACGTAAAATTATACTATTTAAACTAGTGAGGAGATTAGGGAAGGTTGATTTACAGACAAATAAATCACCACAAAGAAAATGAAATTGAAACATTTTCTTAGTTATGATAAAGAACTCACGTCAGATACTTAAGTTTAAGAATTCTAAAGAAGGTGGAAGGGATTTCTGCTCACATAGATTTTGATTAGTAAAGAAATGTTGTTTGTATTAAAGTTATACAGAGATTAAATATGTGTATTCATGTAGATGCTTTAAACTATTTCGAATACATTATTTTACTACTTCCCTTGACGGAAATACAGCGTATTATGCTTTTTGTATCGTGAAGTAAAACAAATATGAAATACTATTTTAATCATACTTTTTGAATGAGAAAAATAACGATTCAATCAGTCTACGTTAAGTTGCATAACATTTACGATTAAAAATCGTGACCAATAAAATTTGTATTCAACTGAATACAGGACATGTATGTAAAAATGCAAATTCTTTTTTTACTGAAGCACTTTTTAAAAAAAAAGAATAAATTATCAAATCAAGCAAAATGAATAGTCTATAGCATCTTTGCATTAGGTCTCTATAGTAAATAACACAAACGTATACATGTTTAGTTGCAAAACGTTTGATAAACTGTAAATCTGAAGGTTTATTCACCTTTTTTCTTCAAAAAGATAATGAACTAAATATGGAAATTATAATTTCATGTACCTTGGTCTAGATCCTATTTATATCACACAAAAATGTTTACTAAATAGCAACTATTTGAAAAAAATTTGCCTGAAAACCATTTGCAGTTAAGTTTTGAGTTGAACTAATAAAGATATATAGAAATAAATGATAATATGTATTAGAGTAACGTGTTTTCTTATATATATATTGAGAACAAAATTTAAGTGTTACTAAGCAAATACGTAGAAGTATAAAACTTGTTGTTTGAATATAAATATTCAATGTCACCTTTTGATCTGACAATATTTGTGAATTGTATTCATATAGTATATTTCTAACTTCTATGTGGTGTGTGGTGGTCGGTATTCAATATAATCCTTAAACTTCGTATACAGTTCGTCTTGACAACCGTTATTAGATAACGCCCCAACGGTATATTAATCAGAAGGCGAATACGAAGTGTTGATTACGTTTATTATGGGACCACACACAGATATCCAAAATTATAGGTGCGTTAAACAAGCATGAAAGAGTTGTGCCGAAAGGCAAGCGAGCAAACGAGCGAGTGAGTCAGCTAATATGAGTACGAGTAAGCGAGTACAGATAAGCGAAAGAAAGCGGTGAACATGAATAACATGGACATATATAGACATAGTGAAATGATTGAATCATCGAATCAATTAAACGGTTAGTAGTAAGGCTAGCACCGTGAATAAATGCGTAGACAGTAAGTTGCGCTCAAGCATACATGTTCATTAATTTAATTTAAATCTCACATTGATTAGGATTTAAGTAAGCAGTATTTCTTTACCTTATCAACAACAACAAAAATACCTCTGACGTATCAGTTTTAGTTGGTCAAATAAGATGTTTGTTGTTTAAACCTCAACCTTTCAAACTATTAAATTTGAGCATACCTTTCGATATTCGTTTTTATTTTTGTTTTTGATTATTCAATAATTTGCAAATAATCTGTAATATTAAATTTTACATTGAATTTTCTCACGGACAAACATTAATTACTAAGCAATTTGTTCAACTAGTAATCTATTTTTTTTTATTTTGAATTGCGTTTTCTAAAATGTTTTGCAAACCTTTAACAGGTCAAATAAAGCAAATATTATCATTCTCTTTTAAAATTTAATCAAATAATTTTAAAGAATAAAATTTTGAACAAACAAAACAAACTGTCAATAACACATTTATTTTAAGATTGACCTTGAAGAAGTTTTCTAAACACCAATTTATGTGTTTACTTAATCTATGAGGCTTTTTTTTTGACCTGGTATAAAATTTTATTTTTCTTTTTTAGGAACAAAAAATCACTTTCTAAAACACCTCAATTTACATAAATCTCATAATTCAATTATGACCTTATTATAAATGAAACATGAATTCGAACTATCCCCATCATCATCATCATCATCATCGTCATTCTCTCACGTATTCTTAATTCATATAAAGTTATAATCATTTTTTCTGTTTTCTGTGTTTCAATCCAAATATAAAATTAAATTTGTAAATATTCTGTTTTGATTTTTAATTCTTTTTTTGGGTTGATTTAAGTGTTTCTTTTTCTTCTCTAAAAGGAGATAAAATATAATCACTCGTTTTGATGATGACAATAACAACAACAACAACAACAAAAAAGAACCATTTAAGTCAACTACAATAATTAAAGTGGATTGTTCATATAGTTTAATTGGATAATTATAACTTTCATTTTAGTTTATTTATTTTCAATTCAATGTTTATAAAAATTATTAGAGGTAAGAAAAAGAATAAGAATAATAAGTGAATTCATTGTGCCATTTAAACCGTTTATTTATAGCTGAGTTGGTGTTAATCTACGATGAATATGACCCTAAATATAATAAGACCCATGTTTTTACACTACATTGGAATAGTTAAATGAAATTAATGAATAAATAACAAAATCGTTGGACTATTATTAAAATGATGATTTTAATTATAATATTCAACTTTATTTACTAAGTTACAGTAATAAATTCTCAACATTAATTTGACAATGTCTTTGTAACATATATTATTTAACAGTTAGTACCTATCATTCATCCTTATTTATGAAACACTTGACCATTTTATATGGAACAACTTTTACTTTGAATGGTTATATTTCGGATACGTGGATTCTAATCAAATGGCTTTTTATCTCTTCAAACATCAGAAAGGGAGAAAAATATCCCGACAATTTTGATATTTTTTCCTAATAGGTTATAAGCTTTACATAGAACCACGTAATTGTATACGATTAGCACTCAGAATTAGTCATTTAAGAGGAAGCTGAAACTAAGACGTTTTTTAAGCAATATTTACACAGTTGGAAGAAAGGTTGTTCAAATGTTCAACTACAATATTTCGATTGATGATAATGGAAAGCAATAAGGATGGAGTTAATTAATTAAGGAAACAAGAAGCGTAAAAATGATGGAAAGCCAAATTTTATGGGGGGATAAAGAATGAAAGCATGTGCGATACTACTGGCGAATTTGTATTGGTTTAATAAATGTGAAAAGAAAAATGCTAACTCTATGAAGTAATAAAGTGAAGCAGTGTGCACAGCTTTCAGAATATATATATATATATATATATATATATATATATATATATAATGATTCATCTATTGCAACATTATTGGTATAAATAATTAGTAAGAGACATTTGAAAATTAATCTCTGTACTTTGCAAATTGATCCTGTGACATACTTAAGCTTTTCATTACTATGCTGTTTATTATTATCGCCAGATGATTGAACTGTAAATGAAACGTGTCTTGTAATCTACTTTGAAATTCTGTCAGTATGATTATATACTTCTTTTCCTGCTGATATTTTACACCAAAACTGTCTCTGATAAAATTAACTCGTTTGTGTAATATCAATTCTAATTAGTAGATCATAAAATAATTAAGCGGATATATGATAACAAACCTATCACAGTAATTTTTGTTGCTTTTTTCTGTGCTCCCTTTTTCATCTATTATCTAGATACAAATGATTACCATTACTTTAAAATGGCAATGAAAATGACTTTAGATATACTATCCGTTCATCAAGAGAATGTCTTAGTTCCCCTTTGGCGAAATAACGGTTACCGATTGGTGCCTCCTATTGAAGTAATCTATGCGACCAATGTTGTCTTAAAGCAATTTCCGAACTAAATTACTGAAAACAATGTAAACTCATTTAACTGTTCTAGACATACATTTGTATCAACTTGATTTTGTTTAAACTGTCATTCATTCCGTGATTTTTAAAAAAATATATGGTCTACGTATTTACTTAAAAGAATAATATAAAAGTTGATGTTTCAAATAATGTGACCGAAAAATCACTCAGACCTCCCTCATTTCAGTTATTGACCCAATATTTGTAATTAGTGTATTGTTCAATCTTTGATTGAAAATATTTAGATAAAATGAGAAGTAATGGTGTAGTGAACGAACACTCAGGTGGGGACAACCAATTTATTATTTAATACTTAATTATAGAATATCTAAGCAAAATATGAAAACCATACATTGAATACTCTATTTAGAAATCTTCCATCAATTGTCTTTCAGATTCTGTATGATTCTTCCAAGTCACAATTCTTATTTATTTTCCTTTCTGTATTATTCAACTCGATTTTCTTAGCCTTCTGCTGTCAGGTTTTTCACTTTCGATTAGTTTTACATACTACTTATATAAACAATCATAAGTAGTATACATCACAATAATACAGTAAACATTAAAATGGAATTATTTGTCAGTTGCATATTATCAACTAAGATAACTAGTGTTTTCAAGAAAAATTTGTTGTTGTTGATATGCTCATATAAGGTAGAATGCACCGAATCGACATTTAGAGATTCTTCTATAGTTGAGACCCTGAGTCAATTGAAGCTAGATCACCATGGAAAACCTAGAAGCACTGAACGGCCGTTTTGTCCTAGTATGGGACTCCTCAGCAATGAGCATCCTCGATCCCGCCCCCCCCAGCGAGATCCGGATCCAGGACCTATCAGTCTCATGTGCTAGCGCTCAACTATTAGACCATTGAGCCGGCATCCGACGGTGTTAATGTCTAACTTCAACCAATCCATGAAATTGAACGACACATCCACTATTGTCATCAGCGAGTTACTATCTCACAACTGACCCGGTTGAAGATTTATTCAAATACGCAGAAAAATAGAATTAAACAAAACAAAATATTATAAAATCGTAACTTCTTCATAATCGAATACGATTATTTGTTTTTGATTGACTTTTATGAGTTATGAAGTGTTCTACTTGAAGATTCTAACAGATTGATTCATTTGTTTAATGATGTGAATGCATGTAAAACATATTTATAAAAAATTCACTAAATTTTAGTCATTTAAACATTATCAAATCTTATCATCAGTAAATATTCACTAAAATAAAACACACATTTAAATAAAGTGATTTCACCAATTGTATCTGCCCATTATATCAATTTATTTCCTTGTTTATCAGTAGTACAATTATATAAAAGAAAATTTGTTAGCAATCAACTAATTTAGTAAGTTTTAACTTCATCTGAATCAAGTATTTATCACTTCATACAAGTAATAATAAGTAAACTAACTATATCTTAGGCTTGTAAAAATCAACAACACTTCATAGTATTCGAATGGTTTGAAAAAGGAAAAAAAAGAAATCTATCACAAGGATGTAATAAAATCATTCAAAGTAACTAGTTTATTCTATTTTAATTCGATACACAAACTACGTTCTGATTGGCATGGTGTTAATGCCATAGTTTTATTTCATTCATGGTGGTGTGGAATTTGTTTTCATATAAACTATTTAACTTAGAATAATTCTACGCATATATAGTCGATAACTGTATTCATAATATATTACTATTTGGTAAATAAAAGGAACGAATGGCAAAATGGGAATTTTCACTATATTACTATTTATTTATAATTTTTATGTTAAAGTGATGTCATTTTAGATGGTACATATAATGATGATCTCAAATTAAAAAAAGATTAATTATGTAAGGGGAAAATAATAAAAAATCACTCACTTTAATAATCGGATATCGTATTATTTCTAAGTATGAGAGTTCAATAATAGTGTGATCTTGTTTTGGTAAGATAAAATATGGTTCATTATCATTTTCATCTTCGACAATAATGTGTATTAATGAACGTCCACGTTGTTGAGGTTGACCTTGATCTTCACCTACAATCCAAAATTTATATACAACAATGTCTGTCTTATCAATCACTTTTGAAGTTTTAGTTTTCATTCTATAAGATTTGTGTGATAATGTAGATGACAACGAGGATTGAGATGAGGATGTAGATGATTTTCGTATTTCTGAAATTTCTTTTAACTTTTCACGGTCAATTTTACTCTTCGTATATATCTTTACTAAGTAAATACCTTTTTGTGTGTCGTAATAACTAAGTAACTCAAATGGTAAATGCAATTTAGTTGATATATTAACTAGATTTCCATTTGCTAAATTCGCTGCTTTCGACAATGAAGATATAGATGACGACAACTCGCTACCATGATGACTGTGTTTATTATAAGGCATTGATTCAATTTCGAAGTGAATTAACCCATTACTGCCTAGATCATTATCTGAACAAGTAATACTTCCAACATATTGATTTGGTGGATTGTTTTCAGTCATATGAAATTCATATACTTGTTTTGCGAACGTAGGCTGTTCATCATTGTAATCACGTATGATAATTTGAATATTGATTGAATTCGATAAAGCTGGTAGACCACAGTCTCGTGCAACAACAGTAAATTCATAGCGATCACATATTTCTCGATCCAAGTTACCCTTGGATTGAATAAGCCCAGTTAATTCATTAATGTGGAAGTGATTAGCAATTGTACGGTCATCTACTATGTAATACTTTATCATAGCGTTTATCCCAGTATCATTATCTGTAGCTAAAAGTTTTATAACTTCATAATGTATCTGTTTCCTTTTTGGATCGCTGTCTTCCATTATTGCTAATTGTAACTCACTGGAATTAAACATAGGTTTATGATCATTTTTATCAGTAATTTCAACGTATATTATTTTACTTGACATTAGAGATGGTTTTCCATGGTCATGGCATTCGACTATCAACTTAATAAAATCAATCTGTTCACGATCAAACGACACGGTTGCAGAAAGTTTATAAATCATTTCTGATTGCGACCACATTTTTCTTTCAAGTTGCATTTCACCACCATGGTTTTTAGATATGCCACTAGTAGCAACACTAGCCAATGTCTCGATATTACTGTTAGTAATTATTGATGTTAATTTAAACTGGTCCCTGTACTTTTCTTTGAGAAAACATGAGATTCTGCCATTCAAACCTTCATCATCATCGGTTACCGAAATGATAGCAAAATCTAATGGTAAATTCTTTGAATGTTCGGGTATACTTAATGTTGTATTCCCATCAAGTGACTGGAATGTTATTACAGGAGAGTTATCGTTAACATCGATAACTTTTACAATCAACTTTGCAGTTGAAAAAGAATCTGTTTCGATTTGTTTTGGACTGAAGGAAATGGGGTTATCTTCATTTGATTGACTTTTAATTGACTCTTTTGAAACATTCACTTCGTAACTGTAAGGATTTCTTGCGATAATTGGAATAGTATAAATTGAACGTGATCTGTGATTCAGTTTATTTTTAAGGTATACAGAACCATTATTAGGATTTATGAAAAAGGTTGTTTAATTAAATCTGGCGCTTCGGAATCTAGTTCGTAAATTATTTTGCTGTATACATCTCCCAAGTCTAAATCAATCGCTGAAAATGTGTATATTGGTAGAGCTGTATTGAAATTTTCAGCGATGTTAATTTCAGTATAATTCGTTGTAAAATATGGCTTATAATCATTTCTATCTTGCACCATGATAGTCAATTCAAGGTAGCATCTTTGACTAGACTTACCATACTTACTATTTGCTTCAATTATCAAATGATATTCAGCTAACGTTTCATAATCTAGTGCTTTCGTTATGTAAAGATTTAATAAATATGGTTTAATCAATGATCCGGTTGGTAAGATGATTAAGTTAAATGGTAAATCAAGTTCACGTGGTTGAAATACTGCTGATTGATTTATTTCAGTAGTTTCATTTTTTGTGTATAGAAATATTTTATCAGAACTGACAGTATGATCTGGATGAGCATCAAGATCCAAAGGTTGATGTAGTGGTATGTTAATATGAGAACGAGGTTTAATATCTTCAGGTAAGTAAATAGTCTGTTTAGAATCAGGTGTAAATGTACAGTAATTATCATCAATATCATTTACAGTTATATGAACACGAATTACCTCAATGATATCTATTATATTATTTATTATTTTAATTAAACTTACACCAAATGTTAATCGACAATCATGTGAATATGAAGCATTGTACATATTTAATGTAGATTGTTGTTGAATTTGTACATTAGATGATATTTCTACAAAATGATGTTGATGATAATTGAATTCATTGTATGGACATAATTCTTCACGATCAATTCGTTTTATTACATAGATTCTACCATCTTCTGGTGTTACATGAAATAAATATGCATGATCTTTATTAATTGGTTTAAATAACAAATGTTTATGTTCTGCAATAATGTAATTAGGAATATATTTGATTAATACTCCAATAAGTGATGTATTTTGTTGTTGTTCTTCATGCATTTCTAAACGTACAACAATTGTACAATCAATATTGATAATTGATAATATAAAAACACTAAATAATTGACATAGAAACAATTTAGAATGTGAAATTTTTTGATTACTAATAAAATTTGTTTTACGTGTTTGACAAGTTCGTTGTTTTGTTATAGTAATAGTACATAAATATTTTGATTTATATCCTTGTCCTATTTGTTGGTTGAATTGTTTTTCAACCTTGTCTGGAGCCAAATCATTACGTTTAATCATGTTGATTGTGTATATGTGTGGGAATATGATATTTGGATCCATTTACTTTTTTAAACTTTCCATATTTTTTACATGATAATATTTCTTAGATAGAAAATTGTCTAAATTTAGTATTCCATTCGTTGAAATGCTTATCCAAATTTGAATTGCTTTAAAAATGTTTGATAGAAATGCTAAAATTAATTAAACAGCAAATTGAAAGTCATCCAATAAACTAATGCATATAATATTCAAATTTATTATATATACTTAATCATTACTATATATTATTCTAATCGTAATACCATGTTGAGTGTTCATTTATTGAGTTTGTTGTGTGTCTCAATACTATTCAAGTACATCATCCCATTATGTATCTCATGGATCATTGAAATAAAGAAGGTTATCGAGTACCTAATTTACCTATATAAATTATGCGATTCTATGATTGATTTACAATGATGAGAGGGCTCTCAAAAGTGATTTAATTTCAAGACAAATTAGTAAGTAGTTATATTAAGATATTAGACGTTTAAAGTCAATCATCAGAACGATGTAGATCTGGATTTTATGAAACTGTCACTCATCAGGATGATGATCTGCAGTACAATTAGAGTGGAATCTTTTCATTAGATTCAAAGAAATACCATTCAGTATCACAGTCATCACAGTCTCAGAGCTATACATCATTATATCAACAATTCTGAATTACAAACATCCAAATTATATGGTGAGCACAAGTTAAATTATAAATGAAGATACGTCTTGCTACAAAGTGCCACCGGGTATGAAACAGACATCCAGATATTTCTTCAGGTCACCTAAAACGATTTAACATTCAAACATAGGTTGGGGGATGCTGAGTATCTAGTTTCCCTTTGTTGCTCTATTTATAGGACTTGTTTAGCACTGAGGACTAAACAGACATGATATAGGTTACTAATTGGTAACCAGTTGCACACTAGTCGCATGGGAAATGAAAACAACTAATGATTAACAAAGTTAACGGCGAAAATTCATGGTGATAAAATATGATTATCATAAAATCTTTTCTTAATATATTTATTACTAAGACAACTCTGTACACGAATAGAAACTTTATGTTTCTTCTGATATCTGAGATAGTCAGTAATGCCATACAAAGACTTTTGAAATAATTACGCTATATCTAAAGGTCTCTTATAGAATAGAGCTCGTATTTAAGTAGTTTCATAATCATAATGTTATATCCTATCGAAAAATGAATGAATGGTAACGGAAATGAATTGTTTATGGGCTAATGTCATGCATATGTTCTTATTATATAACTATTAAATAACTATATTATATGTATATTCATATTCCTTTCATTATAAGCTTCCATTTTACCTGTTGACTACTATTATACGATTTACCATCTTTTACTTATTCCCAAATTTATTAGTTACAGTACTCACACCCACAGCCACTTTTTTAGCATGATCTTGTATGATTGTTATTTCTATTTCATGGTATGATGTGCTCTGGTTTATTTGTATATAAACCAAGTATGTCCAAAATACATGATTTATATAGCGGAGGCTGATATTAGTGTTACGGACTAAACCGGCTAGATTAGACGAGAGGCTCCATTTTAGGTAGACCGATAAGAACTCAAAGTTGACTCTAGGCTACTCCTACTGATTTATGAGTCATTGGTCTTATCAACAAGTTGGTGTCCTAATTGGCGATCGTATCACATGATAATTAAGAGGCCATGAGGACATAACACGTAATAAATTAGATTTTAAAGATCGTAATATTTTTCGTGAATTAAGTAAAACAATCTGATCGACTATGACGAGAAATAGTATAAAATTAATTTACTGTCTGACAATTTTAAGAATGTGTAAAGTAATCTGTTAAATGAATCTTAACGAAAATGTCGAATAGAAAATTAGATATTTCAGAAGATACTAAATTTAAGTTACATGTCTCTTGATAATAATCAAATAATTAAATTCAGGGAGATTAGAGAACAAATAACAACTAACAATCAAACAAGATACAAGCCCTGGATTTCATTACAATCCTCTATTCAATCAAAGGGCTTTTGCGAAATTTATCCTGGTGTTGTTAATACTATGCTCATTAGATAATAAAAAGTTGAGGAAATTGATGAAGATTTTAAAACACAATACTTAATAATGGTAATTATGAAAAGAATTTAAGTGATGGTAATTCCGAATTACATTTAAGAGTAGAGTTAATACTTGATTAATGAATAATGATCAATTTCTCCAAATGATGATGAACGTGTTGTTAAGCTGTCAACTTAAATCAAGTCACTTGTTAACTTGGTGATGATGAAAATCACTCATTACCTTAGTAAAGTTTATAAGTTAGTTAATACATTCAATCATGTGTGATGTAGGAAATGCATGATTTTTGGGTGGAAATATTATTTGATCCCTTTTAAAGTATAATTAAATAGACTTTTTCTCACAGAATCTATTGGTAATGAGAAAATAAAGTCGTTCGATTTTTCCTTCTCGTTTAAATAATCCCTGAAGGGAAAATGGTGAATTAAATCACAAAGTACTGTGGGGTGGAAGTAATTATATAATGTCTCAATTTTCAAAGGCCACAGTGTACGCATATTGATCTTTTATTTATTTTCAGTCCTTAAAATTCAACGCAACACGTTTGTGGCTTTTGGCATGTTTAACCATACATCGTCTTAAAAGAATGATTATTTAGTACTTTTCTGTTAAATTTTACTGTACCACTGAAGGATACGTATCAGTATAGGGTTGTGGATATTGTTGGATTTCATTTAAACCATGAACCGTTCAATGTTCAACCACCATTGAAAACATGGAAGCACTTGACGGCATTTTCGTTTTGGCACAGGACTCCCCAGAAGTGCTCACTGATGGTCCCACGCGCAGAACTCAAACCCAGAACCCATGGTTTTGTAAACGAACGCTCTAGAGAACGGCCTCAATTCAACAGTGTCAGTGCTTGAAATAGTCACGCGATATCGTAGATTCATCAAAGTTGGACATTATTATCGTTGAATGTTGGCTCGTTGGTCTAGAGGTTAAGAGTTGGCAAGTAAGACAGAAAGTCCTGGGTTCGAGTCCCGTATTCGTGACTGTGGATGCGCATTGATGGAAAGGCTTGTGCTAGGATGAAATGGACATCTAATGCCTTCAGATTTTCAATAGTTTTTTTACTTTGATCGGTTCATGATTTTAATTGAAACTAATGACCAAATTCATAAACATGAACCAATTAGGTTGTATTCACAATTCTTTTTATATGACAGTTTGCAATTATAAGTTAATATTTATATCACTAGAAATAAGTAAACTAGAGGTTCATCTAAACTTTTAGAATTAAAATGTAACTAATTTCTTTTCAGCAGGGGTTTTGTGGGGATTTTAGTAAGTTTAATAGGCGGGATCGTGGATGCGAACTGCTGAGAGTCCCACAATAGGACGAAACGGCCGTCCAGTGTTTCAAGATTTTCCATAGTGGTCTAGCTTCGACTAAATCATGATCTCAACTGTTTTCTTTTCATTCATAAAATTTTTTGAATCTCTCAATCAACATATCTAGTTAGATTATGGTTCTTAAATATGATTCATATAGTGATAAAAAATATTTGAATTTAGTTTTAAAGAAAACAGGTGAATAAAATTTGTAGCTTGTTTCATAACTATAGATTTCTGATTGTAATCTAAAAAATGTATTACTATTATAAATGTTAAATATTGTATATGAATTAGAAATAACTGTGGTGCTTGAATGAACTAATGATTCCTTTGTACTTGTTGAATGCTTGATTTCGAATTCCTTCATGTTTATATAGTACTTCTTGATGCAATTGGGTTATTTTTGGGATTCTTAGTTCGTATTATAATTCAAATACTTCTATTTATCACAGTAACTCAATATAATGCAGTCTACGAATAAAGACAAGATGTACGTCATTAAAAGTAAAATACTTTATGAACTTAATTCTAATAAATAAATCACAACATTGAATTGGTTTATTTATTCAAGATAAACCTAAATTATGGTAAATTATAATAAAAAATCACTTGCAAGAATTAAGGGTAATAATTTATTATTTAACAACATTTAATATTATTTACATAATATTCAGTATGTTTCTTCTAAAGAAAGATATCTGATAGTCGATTTATGATTTCAAATATACACTTGTTCTTAAAGAGAAAGAATTGATTTGTAAAATTTTAGCAAATGAATTTGAAGTAAATCTGAAGTTTTGCCTGGTAATCTGGTACACGTTTTTTCAAGGAAATACAATCAAACATCAAAATTATCGAATATAAATAGGTAATATGGTTCGCCGGTTTATTGTATACTGAATAAGTCATTCAATCAACGTTAGCAATGTTTAAAGTAGGTATTTACATTAGTATGTAAGAAACATGTGGTGTGAAACTAGCTGTTCCATGGCAATTAGTAATTTGTAAGTAAACCTGAACTCCTTATTCCATTCTATCTATATCGCATTACTTTCAACGGTTCAAATCAGTTACCTTATTTGAATATGTTAAACAATTGACTGAAACACTAAAAATAACGCAAACTTTCAATTACAAATACATTCTTCCTCTTTGAATTCATTCTTTTATCTTGTTTACTTATCTTCATTTAATGCATGCTGTAACATTTTTGATTTATATATAAAAATCAAATGTTTTCTTAATATTCACCGACCAAAGACAATATATAATGAATGAAATTTTTTCGTCTCACGTATGCCTACAATCTGTTATCTTGACACTTTTCGTTTCACGCCACATGTTTCTTACACACTAATGTAAATACCTACTTTAAACATTGCTAACGTTGATTGAATGACTTATTCAGTATACAATAAACCGGCGAACCATATTACCTATTTATATTCGATAATTTTGATGTTTGATTGTATTTCCTTGAAAAAACGTGTACCAGATTACCAGGCAAAACTTCAGATTTACTTCAAATTCATTTGCTAAAATTTTACAAATACATTCTTGCTCTTCAATGTCTCACCTTAACTCGGCGCCCAAATACTGTGAAAC